GTCATCCCATGCGGGAAAAGAGGTGTCAGAGTTATGGTCGACTACATCCTTTACGAGGCCACTCGATACTGAAAGCGTGCGCGGAGCGCGACGTTTGTGCTCATCGAGCCCAGGATATACATCCCCCGGTGACGCACTGTCCGACATCGCACCGCGTGCGGGAGACGAAGTTGGGCTCTGCCCGTGCTCGCTGTCAGAACCAGCGAGACTTGGTAGCTTCCGTGTCGTGGACACATGGCTCATTGAGCAAGGAAGTCGTTTTATTCCAACGAATTATGTTGCAGTGTCTAGCGGACACGCGAGCCTCGTTGAGGCAATTGTTGATTGAAACTGTAAATGTTTTCAATCTCAATGGGGAGGGTGTACAGGGTTACACGTACCCTGGTAACAGGGGGGTCACACGAGATGTGCATGGTGTGACTGCACCCAAACAAGAATACAGTATGTGGCTATGTAGCCTGTACTTATGCATGTATTAGTATTTTACTATATATTTAGTATGTTTAGAAAAATCTAACTTTAAAATTAGGCGGCTTTGCCGCAGATAAAAATGAATGAAAACACTTTTAAATTTTAAACGGAAGAGCTAATTAGCCTTGGGTAAGGCAATAATTACTCTTGCAGTAAGCGGATTGCGATCTACTATTCCGTACTTGCTATAGTATAGAACGAAAGGTCGGTGACCTAAATCACACTTCCTCAAGCGCTAAGCTGCGGCAGCCCGCTGCACTGCAGCTCTCGAATCACAGAGCGCGGATGTGATACGATAGCGATTTATCAAGCTTGCAAAAGCACACTACATGAAATCTACGTATGCAAAGACTCACGTACATCTTACCGCTACTTTCGAGTAAATTCTAAAGATACGATTACAAGGTGCACAGGCTCGGAAATTACACAGCAAAACAACAAGTTATAGACTTCAAACTCAGCGCCACGTGAAAGTGAGTCAATACAATCAAAACAATCATCAAAGCTCCAATGGGAAGGATTTGTGCGGCGCCTAACATTTTTGACCTCCAGACGTTTCATGACCAAAGGCGTTCAAGCCACGCCATACCTGAGATGAGATCGTATGTCGAACCAAAGTATGGAACCAGAGTAACAACAAAGGTCTCAGTGCTCCCTGTCAGGATCTAAATGATGACCTTCAGATTATGAGACTGGTGCATTTGCACTGCAAACACAATAATTGAGATAATTGTTCACCTGATCAGTTCTAGATCTAGTTACTATAGAAATGATCCTGTGTCGTACGTACAAGATACTCTGTCCACTATGTCCTAATACGTTGTAGAGCTGATGCGGGACCACGCACTGGTAGCTTCATGGTTGTCACGGCACTGGAACAAGCCTAATTGTCGCTTTCGCAGGGACGTGAAATCGACGTGGCAACTTCCAGCCAGCGAAGTTTTGCTAGTGTCCTATCTAAAGCATGCAGGTACTTAGTCTGTATGCCTCCGCGTCTAAATGCTATTTTCACAAACAGATACCTGACACTCCGATATCAGGAATTTTCATGGCGTCACAAAGCCCGGGACACTGACAAACAACAACCTAATTACCTTTCTTAAATCGAACCGCCCCAAACAGACGTGGGTTTCATCGAGCTAAAATAGACTAGAAGCCAGTTTTTAGTCGGCAGTTCGCCCTGCGCTTTCTGAGTCTCGACGATTCCCGTGAGGAGATTGCCGAACAACTCTATGTGGAGCCCAATCCTTCATGGCTTTTAGCTGTGAGAGAAGGGGCAAGCAGACGAAGATGTTTAATACCGTCAAGATGTACCAGTTGCAAAGATGATGGTGCTGCTTAAAACCCTCCCTTCTCGGTATGGCTGAGATCCATCGCCTCTTATTTCGTTAAGCTTTTATATCTTGTACTCCATCTGGGCCTTGCCGTACGGAGCGTATATTCCGAATTCAGAACGACATCCACCACACCGTCGATAGAGGTTTGGAGGCCGCAGAAGTTGCGCCTGTCCGGAGACTTTTTGTCAGATAATTTTTTCATCACTTTTGGGATAGCATCTACCGCCGCCATGACGGCAATGAGGGTTCTCATCGTCTGGATGATTCTTGCCTCATTTGACAGATGGCCAAGAACGTTGAGCGTGCACGGTACAATTACATCAAGTACTTGACATCATTAAATATTAAAGATATCTCCGTTATTTTAGTACTGCATGCAAGTGTTCATCCTTGCGCGCGGACTTCTAAATTATAGACCGCTTTCACGACGCTCTGTTGCTCCATTTGTAGCTTTACCAGGTCTATGGACGTTCGACTTCTCTCGCGTAGAGAGATTTCCTTGTTTCTGCCCTAAAAAACGACAGCTTAGTTTTCGCGTCCTAACGATGGAAGTCGGTTCGCTTCTACTGCTGGGTTCATTACTGAAGGTTTCTCACCAGCGCAATTTTATATCTGTTGAATGCCTGATACCGCTTTAAGTCCGAGGGCCGCAAATAGTCTTATCATTTTGAGATCAACAAGAGAAGAGAGGTTTCCAAGCTTAAATAGTTTTTCGGAGGACAAATATTCGAGTAACTCGCTTTTATCAACAGTCTATTTAGATTCGGTCGTCGATTTGGCGACAAGCGCTACTAAGTGCCGTGAACGAATGCTGTTCACTTCAGAACCGGGAGGTCCAGGGTTCAATCCCCTGGCCGGGTAGAGCGGGGTCAGAGTGTAATGAATAAAACTCTACAGCACGTGCTTGACATGGCTTGCACGACTCCTAAAAAGGGGTGTCGTTCTGAAATATAACTGAATTACCATGTATCGACTCTAAACGCTTACCTTGTGCACACAGTACATAACGCAATAATGCCGTTTGAGCTTATACAACATTCGGCAGCTCTGCAGTATGCTGGCCACTCTAGGACACTTACTCGAACGGTCTCGTTTTTGTCAACTTTTCGAGACAAAGCCAATAACATGCGTTCCATATTTAGTTTCGGATGGAATATACTATGTTACATATATAAAAGACAGACATTTTTTCTTATCATCATAAATCACTTAATATTGCTTTAAGAGATCGTATCGTTGGTTCCTCGTTTCCTTGGAATGGTAGAAGTGAACGCCGCGCAAGATACCAGCCGCAGGCGCAAGCGCCAGCGCCAGCGCCGAAAGAATCATCGAAGCAATAAGAAAATGTCACAGCAAGGCCACTATGCCGATCCGCTCTCACCTATCGCGTCTACGCCTATTAAACGCCAACACACGAAGGCAGCAGGTGCACCGCCAGCTTCTAAAATGACATGCCGTATATTTAATTATTTTCTTTTTTTGTGTCGCAGAAAAAAATAATGTATTGCTAAGTTCGCTTAGGTCTAAAGATGATGAAAAGATGTTTTCGCCACGAAAATTGCTGGAGACTTCTGACAAACAAAATCAAGACGCAGGCAAGTCAAGGGTAAAGAAGGCACGCACTCTTGACTACGAATCCGTGTCTTCTACTGATGGAAAGCAGGAAGAAGACGTAGGTGTCAGTACCAGCGAAGACGCCAACGATGAGCTTTTTTCTCCAGTATTAAAGCCACCAAAGACTTCACGCTCAGCAAGTGCTTCTCCACCCGACACTCGAGTTCGAGTAGATTCAGCAGCCATAAGGTCCTATGCACAGCCTACTGAGCTAACAGAGGAAGTAAATATACAAGAGGTGTCTTGTATGCTGGAATGTGATAGTCAGGACGAGGAAGAGTCCACACCACTGGAGCAAGACTTTAATCCGTACGAACGAGATGGAATTAAAGAAGCTTAATGTGCTGACCATCGAAATCATGATGCAGATTTTACTTTATGAAGACCTTACCGAAGTACGAGGATATTGTGGAAGGCAAACGACCCATTTCACTGCCAGAGCGATCGCGCCATGCGCCGAAAATCTGCTTGGTTCTTGATTTGGACGAAACCCTCGTGCATTGTAGCGTAGACGAAGTGAAGGATCCACATTTAAAATTTCCGGTGAGCTTACTGTGTATTCGAGCTGTTGGATATTTGCTGATCTATAGCGTCCCATTCGATTACTGAACAGGTTATGTTTAATGGCGTCAAGTATACTGTTAACGTAAAGAAGCGTCCGCACATGGAATACTTCCTTAAGCGCGTGTCCAGGCTCTTTGAGATTGTGGTGTTTACAGCATCTCACAAAGTGTATGCTGAAAAGCTTATTGATTTGCTTGACCCGCATCGCAACCTCATCAGGTATGTATTGCAGTGACTTAATTTGACTAAAGTATTTACTAATAGTATGGGTTGAACAAAGGTACCGACTTTACCGAGACGATTGCCTCGACGTTTTTGGCAACTATTTGAAAGACTTGAATGTCCTAGGACGTGACCTGTCAAAAGTTGTGCTGGTCGATAATTCACCGCATGCGTTTGGATACCAGGTGAATAATGGTATTCCAATCGAAACATGGTACGACGACGAAGCGGACGCTGAATTGTTAAACCTGCTGCCATTTTTAGAAACACTTGTAGACGTTGAAGATGTGCGGCCAATTGTCGAGAAACAGTTTCAGATTCAGAAGCTCATCGACGCCACACCCGATGGTGTCGTTTAACTTCTTAAATCAATACATTAAAAACGTTTTTGATTGGCTTCTTGATTTTTTTGTCATCTCCCTTTAATAATTCGATCTGGCTCAACCTTCTCTGTGGTGCTAACTGACGCGTGTTTTGCTTCGTGATACGTTAAATAGTCTTGTCAACATATTATACCTGGCTTATCAACCGCAGTGCGTTCGGGTATGCGTTAGTCCAGTATGGCTACGCTGTCACAATGTTAGCGCTGATGTATGCGATACATTGTCAACCAATGACAGGAAACATGAGACTCTGGGTAGATTCAAAGGATCGACGCAAGTATGAGGATCTAGCAGACCTATTTGCCATCTTTAAGACCACAGAACATCTTGAAGCTGCCTATGTTCGCGATGCCATCACCCCGGAGGAGGTTGGTAATTTGTTGTGAAAAGGAATAGAGCTGTGATCGTATTGCTCTTTGTGCTACAATAAATTTGATGGTGTAGTACACAGAAGCGTGTACAAAGCTGATTTCGCAATTCAAGACAGCGGAAACAGCTCTTCGACTGGGTGGCTTTATCGAGAGCGTAGAAAGCTTTGTCGCCGAGTACAAATTGGACTGTCCACGCGCTTTTGAGCGCCTTGTACGGATTGGTGTACCAGCCACAGTGGTGCACAATACGACTAATCGCAAGACCGATTCAGTTAATGTGGCTCAGACAGTTCAAAACTTCATCACACTCATGGATGTGCTTAAGCTAAACATCCGAGCTGTAGACGAAATCCAGCCATTGCTAAGCGAAATGATGAGTTCTTTGACAATGGTTAGCGGCCTCCCGCCTGACTTTGCTGGACGTGACAAAATTGAGGGCTGGTTGCGTACCATGAACGCTATGCGTGCTTCCGACGAACTGAATGAGGAACAGACACGTCAATTGAGCTATGACCTTGAGCGTGCTTACTCGTCTTTTATGGCATTCCTGAACAAATAGTAGAATATATTTCTCAGAGGGAAAATGTGGAAACTTTATTATTTCTTTTTCTGTTCGAAGCAGACAAATTATGACGTACGAGTTAGATCCGCTTGATTTGAAATTGTGTCTAACATCACCCCATTACTTCGCCTATCAGCAGCGATGTGCAACAAGCCATTACAGCACCAAGCTCCGATTGCATCACATCTAGCTCCTCCAGCATCATATTTAAATCTGCATTTTCGACTTGTTTACATTGCAAAGAGCCGATAGAGACAAACTTTTTCTCTGGTGCAGACATTGGCTCTAGTTCAATGTCCAGGAGAAAATTTGGTTCCATACCGTTGGTGATATGCGGGAACTTCGGCGCCAAAGGTACCGTCATCGGTAACAACGGTGGGAAAGCCTCGATTGACGAGACAGATTCAACTGACTCTTCCTTTAGCTCTTCTTCCGTTTGCTCCTCAACGGCTAGGTCCAACTCCACATCGTATCTAGCGTCACACTCCGATTTCTGCTCTTCCAGTTTTTTAACCAAATCGCTTCTCGAGCTAGAGTAAAGAAGCACCTTGCGAGTGACGACCAACTCTCGTTCTACAGCTGGTTCGCCATAAGCAATTTCCACCAAAGGCTTCGGCTTAGGATAAACCGAAAGCTGAGTCACGACCAATGCACTTGGTCCTGAGTTGGCTGTCATTGTTGGGGGAACCGCCTTCGCCACTTTGATTTCTACCACAGACTCAACCTCTGATACGTGTTTGAGAAGTATGGCAAAACTGTCCTTGCTACTTGTTACTTCCGCTTTACTCTCTTGCTGCACCTTTCCAGGCTTAACATATCCATCCATCGGCTGTTCTTGTATTTCCATTTGTTGTTCCAAAACCTTTGGCGATAGCAACACCGCCGTTTTGATCATACTGTTGTACTTGTGTTGAACCAGGTCTTGATGCAGCATCTTCGGCAGAAGCGGCAAAAGTGGTCGACATCGCAGCAATTGCTTCGGTTCAGAGTGAGCTCTGCGTTTCACCTCCCATAGATATTCGGCGGGTTTCATGGCGAGAAAATTGATCGCTGGCAACATATTCATTTTTTGTTGATTCATCTTCAAAGGTGTCAACTTATTCTGTGTGTGCTGAACAATCAAGTTCGATTCTAGTGCAGTAGACGCCACCACCGATTTCGGTTCGAAGCTGGCTGGCGACACAAAGTGATGCAGGTTCTTTCTGGACTGCTGACTTTGTGCGATCGAAAGCGTAAGCGAATAGTCCAGTACACTGCGCCGCAAAGCATATAGCCGGTTAATAGCCTGTTGAAAGCTCATTCCCTGCTTGAGATCAATCGGTTCACTATGATGCAGGAGCACAAGACCCAGAACCATTAATACTACAATGCAAAAGAGCATTGCACCACCGAACACATAGCCAAGTAGCACAAATGCAGAAAGGAGCTGCAGCATGCCCAAAGGGGTCACGAGACCACCCGCGCGAAAGGTTGGTGTATTTCTATAAAATTCATCCGTAAGTGTGTGCGGATCTTTAAGATGCTGCTGCTTGACACGCCCCTGCGTCTTCGTACTCACATGTTGTCGCATTTCTGAAACAAGAGATAAATTGGAAAGGGTCAGTTCTGTTTTGTTAATTACTCCGTGCTTTGAGTTGATAATACTAGGAGTGAGCGGTCACAATATGATGTGAACGTCACGATCTAGTGAGAAGAGTCAAGTGTGCGCCTAGCGAAGTGCTTTAACACGGAACGATTTTTCACTGAGCACGAAACACGTTATTAGGAATCGTCGATTGTGTAAGCCATTTCTTTCACGTGAGCCAGTTTTTATAGTAACAAATACTCTCATTTGGCAACTCATCAACAAAGCTTAATTGTTGCATATCAGTCAGTCAGTCTCAAAAGACATTCACCCATCCCTATTTCATTTGAGCTAAGAACTCATTTCCAGGGCATAACTTCTTCTTAAATTTGTGTCCACAACTAATTATAAAAAGAGGGATGAGTTGATTGCAGACAAAATTTGCCCTTTTTGAACAACTAATGACTTTTCTGCCTATATTAAAAAGTAGAATTAGAAATAGCGACTTTCTACTGCTTGGGTGGAAGAATATGCCATTACACCCCAAAGGCATGGGAGCAGTAACGAAAAATTTGATGTACATATGAAAAAAACGACTCGTCTGTTATATAAAATCACCGTTGGACCATTTGCAATCGCACTGTAACGCATGCAAAGGGACGATAGCGATTAGTGTACAAGCAAGTTTGCCGAAGTAAAATTAGGGCAAATTACGGCTTGTATTGCCACTTCGTACACGCTTAACTTGCATTACAAGTAATGTCAATTGTCAATGCGGGTCACAATTAGCGACTGGAACAGCCGTTCCCACTACGAGTATCCAGGTAAATTATTTTTATATAAGGCACCGGACACAAGGAAGGATAACTTAAACCATGCAAAATTCTAGCTGACAAGTAAGAATATAATACCAGATACTTGTATATCTAATAATACTAGATGGGTCACACATGAAGCTTCACTGTACTCCAAGTTTCCAGGAAGTTACATAACTTTAGTGCGGCAGAAATGATTGATCCCGCGTTTATCTTCATACGTGACCACTTTTTCCGAGCGCTTGTACGTGCGCGCTCACTATGTCACTGAACTTAATTGTGTAAAAAATGAAGTAAGAATACGACTATAATGTCACGTTTGATTAAATTAATTAATTTACTGGATCACCAAAGAAACGAATCATGCCATGAGATACTTGCACAAGACTGTCATCTTCTAATGAGCGAAGCGCCATTTGGAACTCAGTACCTTTCACATCGCTCTTGCGTTTTTCTTCCAGGCGTCGGCGAGTTTCATGAACAGTCATCGACTGGTTTGGCGTCTCACTTAGAATTTCTTTCACTCCAGCAACAAGATCCGCTAGCACCTCGCGCTCCAGCACACTATGACCCGTATTAATCATATCCATATCAATCGTGCCCGTCCGGGGATCCATCGCTGCACGCTGGGTAGCTACATTCATCAGACGCAGCGCTTCATCGACATCACTTCGAGATACAGTTTTGCATAACTTGAGCTTTGCGAGTGCTTCAGAAATACGAATCAGTGACTCTAGCTGTCGTGGGGTCGCTGTAATATTCTTCTTTGCCGATGCAGCACTGGCGCCACCCATTCGTCGAAGATCCATGTATGCACGAATAAGCCCATCGCGAGCCTCAGCGGATAATCGTGGAAAAATATTGTGTTTGGCATATGAAATGTATTCGGTCAGGAGCTTCATACTTATTAATTGTGGCGCACTCTCGCCGTTTCGCGTTTGAGTTCGCATACGGGCTTGAGTTTCTTCGTCGTAGTATAATGCGACAATGTGTTTGGCAAGTTTTCGGTCTGATTCGGGTTGCGGCTTATCGAGAATGAGATAAATGAGATCAAAACGCGAGAGAAGAGTAGGAAGAATGTTGACATTCTCCACCACTGACTTATTTGGGTTATAGCGCGACTCGATCGGGTTTGCAGACGCAAGAATTGAGGCTCGTGCGTTCAGTGAACAAATGATGCCAGCCTTGGCAATACTTACAGTCTGCTGCTCCATAACTTCATGAAGTACTGAGCGTGCTGACTCGCTCATTTTATCAAACTCATCAATACAGCAGATTCCCTCATCTGACAGAACCAAAGCACCCGACTCAAGCACAAGGTCGTTCGTTTCCATATCGCGGATGAGTGACGCCGTGAGACCGACGGCTGAACTTCCTTTACCTGACGTATAGATACTTCTAGGTGAAAGCTTGTGTACATATGACAGCAACTGAGACTTTGATGTGCCTGGGTCACCACATAGCAACACATTCATATCGGAGCGCATGCTCCTGCGTTTGGGTGCCATGCCACCATGCTCATAGTCGCCACTGTCTTCGTTTACACTACCAGTACTTCCATCTTTGCGTGTGCCGCCGAACAGCATGCACAAGATTCCTTTTTTGACGTCGTCCAGCTCCCATATAGATGGTGCCAGTGAATGAGCCAGATTTTCGTACACTCGAGGATGCGCTGCAATTCGATGAAATGCTGCCAGCTTTCGTGCTTGTTGTGCATCTGCAGCCGCAGCAGCATCCTGTTCTTCCGAGGGGTCTGGCATGTCTATATCGATATCTGCTGGGCCAATAACGCCCTCATTCCCTCCATTATTCCGGGTGACACAGTCTAAAGTTTCTCCAGACTCGCCATCGTCACGCCGGGTGAGCTCATCCACGCGGCGAAAGTGGACAACATCTACGTACGTTTTAAATACAGATCGCACGACGCGCTGACGAGAGTTCGAGCGCATCGGCACTGCACGATAAATGCCGGTCACTTCGACTTTATCACCTGGTCGCACGCCATCTACGAGGTCGTCGAAAGCAAAAAGTAGCACTGTATAAGGGGTTTCACCCTCAGGTATTGCATCAGGGGTCTCCTGCATTTTTATCATTTGCTTGTCTGTGAACGCACAACGGTTGTGAATCATTTCCATACTCATTCGAGACTGGCATCGCATACAACTTGTGGGTTCTTCGATGCGACCCCGATCTAAAGCCACTTGTGTCGTTGCATGACACATGGCGCAACGGAAAAAAGCTTCTTTCAGATCCGGTAGAACACCACTACAACGAGTGACCATTCCTTTTAAACATACCAACTGGTCAATATCTGATGGGTTTAGATGGCGCATGGGTGAGACCTCACGCAAGTTGTAAGGTCTAACCTGAAGTGCAACGTTTGTCAAGCTGTCAAGAACTGCAGCTTCTGCTACTGAAGTAGCCAGCAGTGCCTGATACTCCTCTGTAACGACCATATCGAGAATGCGAATGAGTACCTGAGGAAACAGAAGTAATTGATTGTAGAGCTTCCGTACACTGCGAAACTGTCTCAAGTGCTGCGTGTCAAGATCTAACACAAGCGACTGAGTCAGCGCCAGCTGGCGCAGCGCTTTCAGGTAATACGGCTCGTCCGGTGCGCCATTATTATCCTGTCGAAATTGGTGCAAAAATTCTCGAAAGAGCTCCATACTTTCCGATACACTAATATTGGTACCCCAAACAACAGCTCCCGAGAAAGCCATTTGTTCTTCTTGCTGCTGTCTCTGAAACTGCGAAAACGCTGATGCTGACGCAGATATTGAGGCAGACGCTTTAGAAGGAGGCGAATTTGGCGGCGAAGATGGAGGCTGTGGCAGTGCTGTCTGAGCTGGCGTCGGCATGCCGGAACGGCTACTGTGAATACTCGTCATGGAATTGCTGCCAGGAGAGGACGGTGCTCCATAACCATTTCCGACAGAATTAGACGCCTGTGTTTCTTGTTGCGATTGAAAGCTTTCAATCCTCCATTCGCGACGGCCTAAGTCACCGCGCGGAAGTTGGCGCTGGGCCATGCGCCGCAGCTCTGCCTCCACATCGTCACCATCCTGTCCGGTCGTGGCATCATTACCTTCGGCGCCATACCGGCTCAAGTACCGCGGCGCTGGTGTAGCGTCTATAGACGCACTCATCTCAGCAAATCCATAGCGACCGGGCATATCAGTAGCAGAAACAGCAGACGCAGAAATGGCCGAAGCTGAGATGGACGCCGACATGGGCGACGAAGGAGACAGTGGATGGCTGTCGTGACGCGTTGACGCTGTGGGTACTACCGTGGGGGGAGAACCAAGAGATGTTGGCCCATCGCGTGTTAGATAACGAGGCGCCGGCCGCGCGGGACTTGTAGGTGAAGGCGGTGTGGCTGGAGGTGTCCCATTCCCATCCATTTGCCAGGAAATTACTACAGTACCAAAATATCAAATAAAAAATTGCAAAAACGGAGTCACATTTGTCTTTTGGCAAACCTTTAATACTTCCCCTTTACTTAAAGATAATCGAGGCTAAATACGCACAAATTATACTGCGTCCATGGCGGGTGGAGGCTTTGCACTGTTACTACTGCGTGGTGTACCAATTGATCCGCGATTGGATCCCGTCGACACCGGAGGTGCAGATCCGTTGGCAGCCAACATTTCGCGTCGCTTTTCCTCAACACGTTTGGCGCGAATCTTTGAAACAATGTCATCCACATCACCAGTCTTCAACGTCGCAAAGGTGCTCTTTTTCTTTTTAAGCTTGAGTTGCTCAAGACGCTTCTTTGTCTCCTCCTCGCGGCGAATTTTTCGCTCTTCTGCAATACGCTTGCGTTCGTTGTCACGATCTGCAGACTGAAGTACTTTGGCGAGCGAGTAAAAGATAGAAAAGAAGGCGTCGGGTCCACAATCCGGACTGGTTGGGTCTTCACCATAAAACGATGCCGTTTCCTCAAAACGCTTCATCATCACGTCCATATCATCTGTTATCTGTTCCGAAGCTTGTTTAGCACGATCAGCGAATGGTTTGACCACCTCTTGAAAACGATCCAAAACCTCTTCATCTGAATCAAGTTGTGGATATTTCTTGACAGGCAATTTCGCGTGCACTTCCAATTCGTTTGCAATAACATCTGCTGCTTTTCGAACTGCGCTTTCTCCCGCCTTGAGCATCTGGATTGTGACACGACTTGCGCTCTCAATGGATGGCAAACTCTTGTCAAACTCGAGAATTAATGGATTTTTTGCACGCAGCACTTTTGCGACGTAGTTGAGCAGATTCATTGAATTATCTGCTGCCTTCACCTGATTTAATTTAAGCAAAATGTTGAGTTTAAACCCTTTTGCGCCACCACGAGCCGTGCCATCGTTAAGTGCATTTCCAAGTGATAACACTACACGAAAAATTTCTTTTAGCAGATCACACTGTTTCAATTCTTCACACGCATTCGACACAGATGCCATTAATTTTCTCTGCTCCTCAACGTAAGTATCGAACTGCCATGTTGCATGAATCGCCTGCAAACGAGTTGTTAATCGAGGCACACACTCCATCTCACGAAAGTATTGTTCAGCATCGCCTAAAAGCTTCGGATCTCCTGTGTAATTCCGAACAGCATCAAGTTCTTCGTCTTCGGGAGCAAATTGAAGAAGAGACGACACACGCTCGACAGAGAGCAACTCCTTATCAACAAGCAACACTGCGTTTCGAAGTTTATAATACGGCAGTCGGAACCGTGCCAACATTATACCTATATTATTTGCTCTTTTGGCATCGATCAACGCAACGCGGGTGGGAGCTCTACGCTTAGAAGGTTTCTTAGATTCCGCCTCTTTCACCTTTAACGGTTTATTTACAAAAACATCCGACAATTGATTGACAAATTTGTCCAACACCACGTCCTTTTTCACAGCTATCGGTTTCGACTTGGCTCTTGCAAACATCAGTGCTGCAGCTTCCTCCTCCGACTTGTTCCCTTCTTCTTTCGCAAAAAGTTCCCAAATCGTACCAGATGTCTCCTCGCTCTTTACCGCTTCCCAATACAAGTTGCGAAGCTTTGGCTTTGGAGGCCCCGCTACAACAGGTTCCTTCACCGTCGTTAGTACTGCAGCAGACAGATCCTCCAGAATTAATGTATCCGGCGTGTCTAATAATTTTGGATCCAAAGATTCGGTGGTCATTCTTAGCTCGAGCTGGGCACGCGGCATTCCCATCTTCAATAACTTAAAATACTTGGCATAATGTGGGTGTTCGCACGCCTTCACCTTCTTTTCATTACGTGCCTTAATCTCCTTCCCCTCTTCGTCGACTAATTTGTCAGGAGTATCAAGAAGATCACCATTTAATCCTTCTGCTGTTGCTTTGAGCTTGACTTGCGGCAGAGGCATTCCCATTTCTAACAGCTTGAAAAGTTTGGCAAACCTTTGATGTTCCTTGACGAGAACTTGCTTTGAAACTTGAGTCTCACCTTTGATCTCATTTCCTTCCTCATCGACGAGCTTGTCAGGTGTATCTAACAAATTCGCATCAAGGCCCTCAGAAGTAATTTTTGCCTTTACATGTTCCAAAAGCATTCCCATTTTTAAGAGTTTAAAAAACTTAGCGAATTTTTCGTGATCCTTTACTCGGATCCCTTTCGATTGAGTGGTTGTGGTTGTCACCTTTCTACCATCCTCATCCACAAGCTTATCAGGAGTATCCAGCAACTCGCAATCCAAACCTTCAGCAGATGCCTTTAATTTGACCTGATCTACCGGCATCCCCATATTCATAAGCTTGAAAAACTTGGCAAATTTGACATGGTCTTTGACCTTGATACCAGTTCGTATAGCTGTTTCAACAAAAACAGATCCGTCTTCATTTAAAAGAGCATCCGGTGTCAAAAGGAGTTCTGCATCCAAACCCTCATTCAATGCCTTCATCTTGACGTGTTCCAAAGGCATACCCATCTTCATTAATTTAAATAACTTGGCAAACTTCTCATGCTCTTTCACAGGGATACCTTTAAACCTTATCTTACCCTGCTCAGCAATGAAAATCTTGCCTTCTTTGTCTAGGAGCTGGTCTGGTGTGCTCAGCAACGACGGATCAAGTCCCTCAGCCAACGCTTTTGATTTTACATGCTCCAGAGGCATGCCCATCTTGAGCAGCTTGAAAAATTTCACAAATTTTTCATGCTCCTTCACCGGAATCCCAGCAAATTGTGTGTCATGTGCATCCTCTTTCACCTCATTTCCGTCTTCATCAAGCAGCAGATCTGGTGTCTCCAAAATCGAACCGTCAAGTCCCTCCGCCGACATCTTGAGCTGAATATGTGGTATGGGCATTCCCATCTTTTTCAGCTTGAAAAACTTGGCAAACTTCTCATGATCTTCAGCTCGCGTGCCTTTTTTCGAGCCCAGATCTTCATCAGATTTATTCAGGTGTATAACCTCGTCAGGTGTCTCCAGAATCGAGGGATCAAACGTTGGCAGTTCGCTACTCATTTTGAGTTGCACCTGATGCAAAGGCATTCCCATTTTTAAAAGTTTAAAGTACTTCATCAAATCGGGATGGTCCTGAGCCGCGACTTTCGCTGTTGTATCTTCTTCATCCGTCTCGTCCGCAGTGGCATCTGATAGTGCAAGCTCATCGTGATCGCGATCCTTGTTTTCCATCAAAATGATTGGACCCATTCGAAATTGAAAAGTGGGGTCTTGGTCTGCGCACTTTTGCAAAAACTGCGCATATCGGTCCCGCATCTTCAACAACGTTTTACGATCATCGTATCCCAGCTCAAAATTGTGCACTTCTTCAATTGGAGCCAACAGCGTAATCTGTTTCATGACCTTTTCGGATAATGCCCACAACTCTTTTCCGATTACACGGTCGCCAGGAATAAAGAGCAATTGCTGTAGAATCGATAAAAAACACGCTTGAAGCTCATGGTCGTTCGTCACACTATCATAAAGGGAACGAAACACACTATCTAACGACGCAAGATCTGTCTGCTCATAAATTGTGTCTTTCCGGTCGTCCTCCATAAATTGCTCAAAGACATCAATCTGCTTCTCCATGTTGTCCAATTGGTTTCGAAGTTGCGTCACTGAGCTGCTAATGATGCTATTGCCTCCGATTGCAAACCGAGCTCCACTTCGGTTGTCCAAAGGAAGTGAAGAGCGAGCAATAACTCCGTCAGGAGATAAAGCTGCCAAGTCGTTATCAATTGGCGAAGGTGGTGCACTTTTGCTTGCTGACAAGCGGCCACCGCTATAATCATCTACGCTCTTACTAATAGAGGATCGCCTTCCACCAAGAGTCCTTAATGTGTCTAAGCTACTGACAGGGGTTCCAGGATAGTTTTCCCGGCCTTTGATGGGTGAGTCGCTCAATCGAGCACCTAAAACAGGCGAAGGAAAATTTCTTGCAATGTGCTTGGCCGGAATCGGTGACGGAGTTGTCGGAGCGCCTGGATTTGGGGACGAATGGCCATAAAATCCCTCGTTGGGTGAAGTGCCAGCTGCAGAACTCGCGAGTGGGTACTTGGTGCGTTGTACAGCAAGTGACTTGGCACGAATTTCTTCAAAATAGCCCGCCATCTTGAGAGCCATAAAGTCGGAACGAATCGCAAGTCGGTCTTCCAGCCGAATGGCCTTATTTACAATAATATTCACAAAACTGAGTACATCTTCCTTAAATACAAGCGAATACCTGGTCGATTTGAGCGCATCCCGCAAGCAGCTAAAGCGAATACTTTCACCCTTAGTTTCCTTATAGTGATCAAACGCCTCAATGACAGCAGAATGACCCGCTGCACTGTTGTAACACACAATGCCAAGTAATTGCAACGTGTTCTTCTTCAAGTCTCCGTTTTCGGTGTGAAAACACAAGGCAACACGTTTAACTAGCCCTGGAGTGTTGGTAATCGCTTCGACTCCTGCCGTAAAATGCGTCAACGACCGCAAGATTCGTAATATGACTTCGCACACTCGCGTCGCCTTTTCAAATTTGGAAGTCTCGATCGGAAAAGGTGACGGGTCAGGAAGTTTCATCGTAAGATAGTCCAAGCCGAAATGAGCAAGAAAAGCCTCTAACCAGTCTGTCGACGCAATTGCAATTTTGGCTCGAAGAGCCTCAAGATCCTTTAGACCCTTATTATCCCATTTCAATTCGACCAAATTCTCTGCAAATTTTTTCGCCTCGGTTCCATTCGACTTGGTATGTTCCTCATTTTCGTTCTGTTGTGCATACCAAACCACGTGCCACTTTGTCTCCAGTGACTCTATGCGAATTAATTCATCCATTACGTCTTCAGGAACTCCACGTTTAAGCATTAATTCACGGTACATTTCATCTACCGTGTCCCATTTTGGTGGCCGAGGCGGTTTTTCCTTTTCCTTTGGGGTAGCACCACCAGTCGGAATTCGTGTCGCAAAAAAATCACGGAAATATTGCAATTTCTCATTAAAATTGCCATCCTGAACAGGATTCGACATTGAAATAGACGACCGAAAAAAACTGTTGCGCCGTGGCTTTGAGGATGTCGAATGATTTGCTTCGTGTTTTTCGGGTTCGCGCCGAAACTCCATAGCTAGAGGCCATGCTGTCGGATCTTGTTGTAATTGCATCGCATGCTTAACAATTTGTTCAAACGGCATATCGTCAATAGCTGTTTTGTGGAGAATCTGAAGAATATCCCCCACTTTAACACGACCCGTTGACTCGACGTATCCTGGCAGGTCTCCTTTTAGCGGACGAAAGCCTTTGACAACAGCTCCGCGTTGAGGTTTGTCTCGCTCAATGTGTCGCGCCCGTAAGTCCAATCCTAGCGGTCCAGGCGTCGGTACCTCGACACGGAAAACAAGCGCGCGGTCGTTTGCATTGGGATCACTGCCAAAAAATGGACTGCTACTGGTTATAGACATCGAAGAAGGTGTGCTTAGAAGTGAGTGAGAATTGATTAGACTGGGTGACTCGCGCGCTGCATTGCCGCCACCCAGCGATCCGCGGCGCTTGCGCCACATCTACGCGATTTCCGTTCGCCCTGACTTTGTGTCTTTCACGTCTTCTTCACTCTCTCTTTCTTGCTTTATGACTCCAACAATGTTATGTTCACGTGTCTGAAAGCTGCAATTTCTAGTCACGGTGACCGAGTCGAAACCTGTCGAGGCTTCCGTAATTGAGCTTTCTGCGGGGGGGACAGACGAGGGTCCGCCCTTCAGTGGTACACGGTACCTACCGTGTGTGTATATTTAATATATTTGTATAGTAATGATCCCATGGGATATTAATACATATCATCGATAGTGATTTTGCTCTCGCGAAGAATGAGAGTGAATATCGCTCGTATAGAGTATATCAGCGCGGAAGACGAGAATATAAATTTGAGCTGCATAAAACCGAGATTACACTTGTCAAAGTCTTTAAATATTGCTCTTCAAGGAAGAATTATTAGTCTTTTGAACTATTGTCGTCTCATGGATTTTGTGGGGGTCGGTGATCCACCGCGCTCATATTCCCCAGCTTCGTAGTTATATCTATCACCTTATGACATGTCCCAAGTATGTAATGATTGGCATCATTGCTTTTGATGCATCATGCACTGCATCTATATGTCTTGGTGAGTGGTCGTGTCATGTCTGCATAGTTTGCTCTGCATTTGTGCAAGTGGCTCACCTGTCCTTAAAGCTGCTTGGGATAGATGCATAGACAATTCTGCGATAGCCTTAGCTCTCACTTCTTATATATTTTCGCGCAAGCGCTTCGGAAAATAGACCCCACGACGCGATGAACAGGTTCATTCTGAGCAACTAAATGTGGATGGTCGGTTATGGACATGCCCGATATTGTGCTCGGTACTTGAAAAACATTTATTGCTGCAAGGCATGATCAACAATGGCTATTGGCAAGCCGTGTGAGCGAAGACCTTGTTGATAATTAGCTTTTATGTCCCCTCACTGATAATGATGTTGCTGACAGTTGCGAGATGAGCCAATTTGATTGGACAGTCCACAAAGACCAATATGCTGGTATTAGTGGGTGGGCTGTCGAATACGGTATAGCGCTGTAATACAGCAAGCCTTGAATAAAGTTTAGTGGTGTGATTACGCAACAGTTCGTTTTCTGAAGCGGCAGTTAAGCTCAAAACTCCCTGTTCCTAAAGTTATCATTACTACAGCATTGCTGCTCCTGACCTGAACGCTGTACATATCGCCTCATTAATGCGCGATAGTCTGGTTGACGCAAGAGCGCTCTCACCACTTTATCATGTCGAAACTCCATTTAAGAGGTATAATCGATAACGAAAGATCTACAACTCGTGTAAGTGATATGTAGCCGCAATGACTCTGTGCGCGCGACGACGCATGGTTTGCACATACCGCAAATGGTTTTGGATACAAGCACGTATACCCTGATCCAGACAGTAGCATATGAAGTATGCTATTGTCTGGTTCATTAACATCTGCTTGAATTATCGCACAGCCTAGTGTAGAGGCTTTAGTGTCACAGATGATATGGAATGGTCATTCCAGTTATTTGGAAGGGTCAGAATTGAAGCACGCATAAGGCTTTCAATCATAGCCTTAATTATCGCCTCTTCTACCACACCTTACTATTATTGACCATCAACATACTCGACGCGCCGTATAAGATCCTGATGAGAAGCCCGAGCACAGACTAATGTACGAGGTATATAGTGGCCACCTCATGCATAGGCGAAACGCGTCAGCAAGCAGAACTTTTGTCGATTTCGTCGGCGTCTTTGGCATGTCTGCAACAATGTTGGCAGCCTATTAGGTGAGAATATTTTGGTCTTCCAAATGATAGCGGGATCTGCCTGCAGGCCATACTTACCAACAACGATTCGGAAACTGGATTCTCGTCCGTGGGTTTTGCGCCGATACAGTGGCTGTATTTTGCTTATTACAAGCATGAAAATTTGCCACTTGCCATTGGCAATTCTGACACTATGCGTGAGCCCCAATATATCGATCTTACCAATCTCGCGTCGTGTTTTGTACGCAAAAAAGCCTCAATGACTTTTCTAGGTTCCTTTAGTAAGGGTGATTAACAAGTGACGTGATTTTTGGTTCCACAAAAGAGCTCAGTCTCATGACGCACACTCTAAACCGAGGTCACACGCGTGGCGGGTCTCTAAGCACGACGTCGCAAACTATGAAAGAATTCTGCATATTCATGATTTTCACTGCCCCAAATCCTCACCAGCGAGTTTCCGCAATGACAGATTCATCCAAATTATATCATCAGCTTTCCGTTCAATACTAACTGCACCAATCTGCACACATCATCCAGGGATAGCCCTTCAAAATCAATAAAACTTCTGCTTGCGGTAATAAGCGAAGTACGTAGTCTCGAACAGCGCGGTCACCTGATTCACAAATGAATAAATTTTTCCATCCACCAACCTGCGGAGCCTTACTACTTCACACGGTAGTGCTATCTTGGCAGTAAAGTAAACTTCGTGGTGAGAATGGACCATCCTGATAATAAGTCCCACAGCCGCCTATCTCTGCCAACTTATGCTCACGAGATTGTGGCACTTCGAATCGTCTTCACGGTGTCAGACTCAAAGGCTCGCGCCACACAGTGATGTTTATAGGTACCACTCAATCTAATATACATAAATGCTTTGACATACAGCTGTAACCAAATCTCTCAGCAGAGCTATACCCTGGAGACCACTACGCGCCGTCACTAGCTCCCGACTAAGCAGATATGTACTCTGGAGGCCATTACTTACGATTGCTACTTTCTTCCTGCTTTGAGCCACAACCACAACTCACTACTGCTTCTGTCTTCCGATCTTAACCTAATGAACTAAGCAATAGCCTTCCTTACCAGACAACAGCAGCATCAATTTGATCATAGTCTTATAACTTTTGCGCGGGTGAATATATAATTTGATTGCATATGATACATCAGTAAGTCGTGATATCTGCTTCAACACACATAAGCGTTAATTCTCGCCCACGCCCTCCAAAATTGACAACTGCTAGCTAGACGTGAGACTTGACCATAATCATAGATATCTAACCATTCTATTCCACAGAGTTTTTTTTCTTGCCGTCTTGCCCTCGAAAGCCTAGCAGCTTACATTACCGGAGTCAGGGTCAGGGCAGTTTAGGCTTCAACCGGTGTCCGGCTAAAGCTTTCTGAAAATTTGTCGTTTTATCGCATTCTGCTAGCTGATGAGTGCCTCCGAGCAAGCAATTTCCCCTTCAGCATTTGGATCGCTTTTTTACTCAGGATCAACATAGACATGAAATCATTTAGCTCGGCTGTTGGCCCGCGGACAGATAGCCAAAGAACTCGTATCACACCACCACGAAGAGTACAGTCTATTCAAGAACCGGTCGTCCGATTGACGAAAGTGCAGTCAGGGTCAACGGGGTTGATGTTCACCTCGCACAATAATAAGAAAACTAAAATTCAAGTCTGCGGTAACTAACACATAGATGATGAGTTTACCACACACTGCCAGGCGCCGAATCGAGAGCATTTCAAGAAATTAGTTTTTCGTCTTGGTTGAATCCAAGAATGATTAGTACTTCGGGCGAATACTAGCTTAAGATGCCTTAAATGTATATCTGATAACAATCTATTTAGATGGTAACCTATTTATGCATAGCGTGAAGATAGCAGCTTGCATGTCATATGGACATATTTCTAACGGAAGCACATCACCTCCACAGCTAACGAGTACATTTTTGTTTTTTTTACCATAATACATCTGAGCTTCTCTTTGAAATCCGAGGGGCAAGAGTGTGATGTGCACCCGCACCATAATAGGGTGAGTACCTCTACCAAATCGGAAAGTCACTGGGCTTACTATCATTACCTACTCGTATGCAGCAGCTACCGAACCGCGGAATGAATTAGACATATAAACTGTAGTCATGCGTGTGGTGGTAAACTAGTATTTTAATAAGAACCGATTCGTGTGAGTTTGTCTGCTTTTGGCATCCGCATGATACTTTTACATATCCTGGTGTTCAGTCATGGCTCAGCACACCTGGCGTATAGCGCTTCTTCATTGCAATGAAGTCATTAATGTTGCGACGAAGTGTATTCGGGTTGACATCACCGGGTCAATCAATATTAACATCCTCTCCCACCAAGACCAACGCATCTTCTCTAAGAAAGTAGGAACAAAAGACGTAGGTTTAACCAAACCATGATCTAAAAATCTTGAGAGGGGTGGCCTGCCTTACTTTGGTCAAACATAATAAGTGAAAAGGTTTCGTTCTACTTTCACACAAATGCTTTGGGCGGTATCTTCAACTATCTGATAAACGTTTTCATTGGCTTTTAAATCGCCTCTTGTTGACAGACCCAATCTGATAATAAGCTTTGCCGACAAGCGTAGCCGAATTTACCGTTAACCCTTGATCTTGATCCAAATCAATTTCCACATATGAGACATGTCGACGACAGTTTTATCACTGCACATGGTAGTAACCTCACCGGTAACTCTTTCACCACTATCAGTAAGACGAGACATCTTGTTCAAAGGTCCAAAATCATCACAATACCGGTAATTAGTACTGAATATCCAACACATGAGTTCTTCCGAATAAAACATCGTCAATCAGCTTAATTCAACATTGTGAACAAAGCTTTTAACGCATGTGGTGAGGAATCGTGCGCACTGGCACGTTTATCAAAAGATAGCATGCTACCTAGCAAGCAGCTTTCTGACCTATGCTGAGTAAGCTATCCCTGTCGCTTTTAAGCTGGTGATATTGAGATACAGTGACGCTTTCATGCTATCGACATCGACTCCAACTAAGGTACAGCCTATGGAATAGACCCAATTTTCACAGACAATATAAAATGACCGATCCATTCACAAAAGGACCCAGATTAAAGCACACATGAAGCTTTCTATCAAAGCTTTGATGGCTGCGTCTGCTGCCGTACCCCATCATCATTTGTCAATCAAATTGAATAGGCAGCGTGTCATGTCGGCTTTGTTTGCACTACACTTATGCATATTAATTGCCTGACCACGCCCTTTTTCAGTCCCTTCGGAATATTGGCGCGGTGGACCTGATCTTCGCGGGATCTACCAGCAACCTATGAATCCCATGAAGCATCTCAAAACGATTGCTCCTTCGACAAATGAAGCACATTTGTACATAATAGCAAGCAGCCATTTCAAGCACTACACTTCCAAGTGTAGGATATGAATGCATCCGACCCATCATGCTCATCAAAACATCTTTAATTTGAAATTTGGCGTCTATGTCAAATGCTGGCTGCAATAATCTTTTCTGATTGTACACAATTCTGTTGCCACCACGTGGTAATATTTTCTCAAGAAAGAAAAAAGAGATTCGTAGGATCCGTGCGAATAGACACGACACTTTTCAAACTCAGTACTCTGCAAGTATTTAATTCGTCCATGACAGCTGATAAGATCAGCTCCTCCTCCGGTAAACCCAAACCAAACTTAAAGTATTGTCAATTTCTTTTTAAATATCCTAGCCCAATGAGAGCTCGGTAAGAGATAATGCGGAAAGTCGATCTCATTCAATAGGACTCCAATGAAATGTCAGCCGTGTAGCGGAGATACTGATCTCCTTCCGCGTCGAGAAACGGCAGATTATGCGTAGAAAAACGTGCACGTTGTAGACCTTCATGCCTCAAGGATACTTTCTTGGTGAAGAATAGCCAGAACCTCGTAAATCATCTGGAGAATGCGGAGAAGGTAAATCGAAACTTGATGATTCGTATGGACTTCTCTCATCATAGAGAAACTCGCATTCTTCACCTGATATAGCCTCTAAGATGTCAGTCGCAAGCGCCATGTCATTCACGGTAGCTTTCTATGCAATATGTACTAAAGTATGCCTTGGTGAGGTACGTGCTGCAAGAGCTATAATATGTGAAGTCGGGGGATCTCAACAGATGGCCTTTGACCCGAATGGTATCGTATTCAGGCACAAAACATATGTGGTTTGTCGTAAGTCTAAGGAAATAGCTTTCTCAGAAATGGTGTGTAATCTCACAAGTTCGTGTGGGTTTACAGGGGTGCCTACCTGATTTCACTATCGTCTTTGCAGCTCAAAAAAGTCAAAGGTAGATTATCGTGGTGCACTGATGTGATCTGATACCGCCGTAAACTAGAATGAAAAAGTGTAAGGCGTGGTATTTGTGTGATCGTGTTCCGAAGAGAATAGGGTCGTGAACAATGTAGGTAGCTAGTCTTATGTAACGCATTAAACAGTGTTTCACTTTTGCGAATGATAGAATTGTGGTATTATTCAACATTTCGAGCTGGCAACATAAAATCAAGATTACTTTGAGCAGTATAAGATACTTCATACCTGAAAGAAGCAAAACTTTGCGTTTTATACACGGCTTCTGAGTCGATCTTATGTGTATTTATACCTTGACGGGGACAAACAATTTGAAGGTGATGGGTGTCTCCACAGACAATACAGCGTCGGGTGTTTCATCGCAGCCCGGAAGCTCGGAGCTCTGCCTTCTCTTTCTCAGTATAGCTGAGATCCATCGGCTCAGGCCCGCTTGACCAGCGGTTAGAGTGTGCACTATTCTAATCATATTCTACCTCTGAGCTAGTTGAACTTTCAGCATGATGCCAGAATGAAAACGTTTTTGTTTGCGGTGCCTAAGTCTCTAGAGATAGTACTGAAAACGTTATTTTTCCAGAGTTGGAATGTTTTTCGTGCTCAATGTGAACTTCCTACAAAGCGCAAATCGGGTTGCCTAGCATATCTGTTATATTGCACAAAATCGGATTATCTTCGTCTGACTGGGATTTTCGTTGGGCACACAGAAACGAATATCCTTAAAGCACCTAGCTTTGTTTTCAAGTATGCAGGGTCATGACTTTGAAAGCTCGCACAAATTCATCAAAGCAAGAAACTGCTTTGAGTTTGCCCGACAATCATGTCCTTTTTCGAGTATGCAGAACAATCCATCCGGAATTGACTAATTTTGTATTTCTCAAAACATTCAATAATTCAAAACATTAACGTGGCTTAATCTTTGAGACAAGCGTATGACTACAGGCAGGATCAACCAGGTTTATGTGCTGTTGGAATACGTGCTAAATATTCTCGTTGATATTTGTTCGTGTAAAAACGACTACTGTAATAATACTAATGCTTAACGTGTCACATCCTTTAGCAAGATCCTTCTTAGAACTATATATTTGTAATGATGTAAATAGCCATTTGATGCGAGGAAAGACACGTTGTGATGTAAGAGATTGAACTACAAGGCGTACTGTAGAGCGAGACGACTTTTGACGCAGGCGACGAGATATCATATCAAATCAAAATAATAGAAAACCGGTGATTAACATAATTAACAAAGCTTTTTTCATTTTGAAGTCATCCTGATGCAGATCACCCTAGATCAAAGGCAATCAAAGACCGTATTATAAATTTGATAGACAAACTCAGATATGGGCTTCAGCAGCGCCATCCGTAAGACATTGGATAACCAGTTACTACTCAGAGTATCAGACTTCATTTATTTAATGGCCATGAACATGGCGGATATAGGATGTCTTCCTGCCACTTTATCGAAAATGATGATACGTCTATAAACTTTGATCCGAAAGGGTACTTCAATCGTCCTAACCATCCGCTGCAATTTTCGCAAGCGGTCAAAGATTTAAAAGTAGTGTTGATGTGTTTTGTAAAAGCCTCACTAGACGTTATACTAAATTCGGCACCTATCGATCGTTATATTTGTTGAACTTAATAAAATTGGCCAACGCCATACATAGAATCGCAAGACGCTGATATCACCTGCTTAATACTAATACCTGTTTGGCCTTTTGTTTTTATATACCTTGAATCGTTTAAATAGGAGCTGAGCTCGTCATCCGTTATGAATCAGCGTTACAAGTTAGTCTTCTTTAACAAGCGAACAGATTGACGCCAAAAACACCAAGGAAACCAATCTGGAGAGAGCGCGGCGGGTTAGCGCCAATAATGTTGACACCACGTTTACTCTTTTAATTACTTTACTGCTGAAAAGCAACGTAATGACTTGTGTTTGTTGGTTACACGAAGCACATGTGGTTCAAGCTACTGCAAAGTGTTTCCACGTTTCCACGCAGCCATTTACAGTATCAAATCCCCTGGCGTCATGCTGGAGATGACTGGCCAGGCCAAATGTTAGGAGTAACGCTTTCTACTGATGAGATAACCGATATAAGTAAATTTATTTCAGATGGTACATTCATAGTAGCGGATAGCTCTGCTTGCAAGTGGTGTGTAAATACTGCTAACTTCGGGGCTTATAGTTTTGCAAAGGATCGATCGGCTTGATGTAAACAGCGCTGTAGCTGTGCACCTCACACGCGAGGATACTTCGACTCTACAAGATCGCGTGAGTAAACGCATAGATGGCGGGCTCGTACACTTTCAGCTGATACTGCCAGACGGCCAACGCATGCGGTGAGAGCTTTACCTGCCGGCACGTTTCGCACAAGCGCATGTGAGTGATTCTTAGGTAATTGTGTTGGGCCACTCAAGCATTTTATCTTTCATGGTGGCCAACCAAGTGTATCGCGCGTGTCTGAGAGTATGCTATACTTGAGGTTCTGATCATAACTTATCACAACATGTTGAGTGACATTGTGTACAACCTGAGACTTTTAGGCTTCAATTTATTATATACGAATACTGCATACGCTTTGGCTGCTTGTTGTTGACCTTATCCACATCAGGCTAACGACAATTCAAATGCTAAATCTATTATTTGCTGCATCTGAAGGTCATGAAAAGCTTAGATCAGGCGAGAAAGGTGTTTAATACTGAAAGGTTGCTGATAATGAAGCAGCATCAAATGCCATTGTAGTACGACAATTCGGTTCATTAAACGTTGTTTAGGTGGTGATCGCAAATAGAAAAGTTGAGTTGAGATACAGGTGCTGTCCCGCACCACCTAGTAAGCCACACGGATCAGAATGACAGCGAAAAAGTGTGCAACATTGCAATGTAGCATACAGCTTATTCTGTCGCATGTTGCTAACGACCCCGATATCAATATCAGCTTGGGGTTCGAGCTCATAACACAGAAAGTTTATCGCAAAAGGTTTGCGTAAAAGTTGCAGAGAAGTCGAATTCGAACGTTCCGTTCAATATCAAACCCAAAAGCGTCTTTTAAAGCAATTTTTTTGGCTTGTTCTTTCAACCCAAGACTTATATATTAAAATTAGTACAATAATGTTATATATTCTTAACTAACATATAAGTACTGCATTACGTAAGGCAAACAGCCCACGTGTTCCACGGACCTCTCCTTTACGAAGGCTCATTGACGTCATCAACACCAGTACATTGGGATTGCATAAACGTGTAACGTTTACTTACACTAAAATAACGGTTTACAGATCCTTCTCCAAGATATGGACCACACTTATTTTATATTCTTCAGACATTGCGCAAAAGTAAAAGTTCATCAAACATACACTTTGTTAGAAGTTTATCCACCCCCCTTAGATCTGACAATGCCTCATACGCATCGGGAGTCCTCACACTAGCATGCCTTTAAAGCCTAGCGAGCTCTCGAGAAAGACGTTATCCTCGCGAACGAATATCTCAAAAGTTTGCTTGTGAAGAAGGCGATGTGCTCTTCGATGAAGTCTGACGTAGTGAATCCACGAGTCTCAACTCAGCATCTCTGTCCCTACCGAGAGCCATGCGACAATACCGTTTATAGTACATGAGGAGTGCCGTACGCACCGCCTATCCTGCACGATTCGAGCACATCCTGCCCGTACCTATGCCAAAGTGTAACGGCACCGCTCCACAAAGCCCACGTCGACGTCCAGACTGATTTCAGTACGCTGAACCTGGCTCAGCAAGCTTAGTTTCCTCGCATGCCTCGCAACATCTTCTGCGTATCTCATAACGTCGTGATTGAATTAAATACATTGTAAGCTTCTCGCCGCGTCGTGGCTGAACCTTTCACGCTGAGACTTGCAAGTCTTTCCTTTAGTCAAAGCACGTGAGGCGAGCGCTTTTCGACCCCTATTGTAAGCTACCGCTGTCGCCTAGAGTAACACGGTCTTTTAACTCTTCACCTGGTAGGGAGAATGTATCTTGGGTAATGAATGCGGGTGAAAGTGCCGAAACGTATCACACTTAATTCGCGCACAGGATGAAAAAGTCATGTCGTCCCACCCGTCTTACCAGTATACGAACCAGCTTCAGTGCAGCAGACGCCAGGCTTGAGCGTGGCTGGTGCTTGATTTTGCAAAATACAAAGCGCGACATGGAGATCGAGATGGATTATCATCACTTTCTGCCAACATCTTCACTCATCTCAATCAGCCTGCACGTTTAACGACTGAACAAGACTAAGCTTGGAACAGGGCTGCCCGTAGAAGGGTTAGGCTGGGCGCTACGCTCCTTCGCGATGAGATCAGGACCGAGGGTGCTCGAAGTCGTAATCTGCTACGGCTCCATTTAATCTTGCCATATGGGACCTCACAATTAGTTTACAAAGTGACAGTATCCCTTCCGTGTCAGCAGATGCTATCACCCACCCAAATAAACTCGCCGACTCACTACCCGCTTTCCATCAAAGTGGACCACTCCTTGCTAATCAAGAATGACAGCGAAGAAGTACCCTTTCGTGACTGGTTCTCGTGAGCTCTCAGTGCGGCACGCTGACTCTCCCTCAAAGTCTTGACGTGTAAAGATACTGAGATGAGTCACGATTTTGGATGCTCTCACTAAGTGTCACCATCGTACGGAAGTTCTTTTTAGACACTACAATCAGCTCAGATCCGTATCACTGCCCAATAGTAGAAAGTAGCTCGGCTGCAAGAAATTATGCTTTATATTTCTAGAGCGTCTAGAGCGTTTTAAATCAAACGGTTTGTCAAAGCTCGGTCGTGGCTTTTTCTTTAACATTCACGTAAAGTTCAAGTTGTGTTCCCGTTCTGTTCGGTGTATTTAAGCTCTGGTCTGGCAACGATCGTAAGCAGTACGATGTAGCGGGAACCCGGCTTATTCATATAGAGTGTACACACTGTATTTATGGGTAGGTAAGCAGCGCTCAAAATATAACACTACACATGAATGAGTGCTTCGTTTACCTCTGACATATATCTACATGTTGCTTTATTTTCTTTCAAGCGCATTGTTGCGTTTTTTGTACGACGCTCAGTCTCATCAATACGGAATAATTGGTTTTACTCCAAATGAAAGCCGCGCTAAGATAGGCGAATTTTATCGTATTGACCGCCCATCTCCCCCAATATCGGGCCACTACGTAGCGGTGTCGCAAGAATGCAGGAATTTGCCGCAACATTTTCATAAAGCAGGAAAAAATCTGTAAAGGCGTGTTCAGCATTATCCAATGCAAATTCGATAAGTTGGTGCATTACGCTCCAGCACCGCGTTCAATATTGTCACGGCAAACTTCAAGTCGAAATTTCTAGAAACTAGGGTTGCTGCGCACTGTCGTCACCACATCGCTTACATCGATTATAATTAAAGACATCCTTGATAAATGTATCATGAGGCATAAGTCGGGGCGCTTTAACATGGTGGTGAATGCGCTTTTGCGCCACTCCGACTTTGAGATGTCACATGTCACGATGGTGACGCTGCGCTAGAAGGCTTTGATTGATCAAAGCACTAGGTCAGTGAGTGGTGGTATCTTATGATGAGGTCTTTAACAGTAAAATACTCTACGAGATATATGATATCGTTTCAAATGATTGGACGACCATCGCGGTAGAGAACAGACATGCGGCTTAGTGAGTGCAGCCTACAGATGGCCCAGCATATTTAAATAGAGTAGAACTAATGTGCGCTTGTACCAATGATCAACAGGATAGATTCTAGTCGCAAGCGTCAAACACCCTGGCCAGTCTGTCAGACATGGTAGAATGGATACGAACCCGTCTTTTGTGCGTTTGCTAACGCGGACTTGTTCTTTGTGCAGGACATACGGCGACCCCATTGCACTTTATTGCACTTGTCGTCAATTTGATGACATAGTCTTGATAAAACCGTGTTTTTCATGAGGATACAACACTACTTGTCTGAATATTGTTCTTCGGGGCAAGTAGACACGCTTGATTGACTCCTGTTTCAAGCATATGACACAATCGGCGTACCAAGAGCCTCTAGTTGTTTTTGTTCGCCTGGAAACACTCACCTACTTTTGAGAGTAAGCGAATACTTGCGCTACTGAACGTCTTTACAGCCGGTCGTGGAAGCACAGCCAGCTTTCGCCGTAATTACGCTCATGTCAGCCTTTTAATGACAGACAGGGAATATGTCTTTTCTAGACAAGAGAAGCTGAAATTCTATGAGACCAAGTTCTCGAAGAATCGTTAGTGCGTCCCGCTACAGTTCTGATCGATAGGTACTCAGTGTGGCCTTTTGGAAAAGAACTAAATATAGTTCTATCTCGTGAAGGTCAAGGTCAGTGATACCAACCCCAAAGAATGCAGCTACACGGGGCTCACAGTCCGTGGCTCACAGTCCGTGTTGTTGACTGTCGGCATCAACATCCTTGTGAAACCGTGGAAAGTCTTGGTAGATAAGGATTGTCGCGTATCGCGCGACAACAAAAAGGCAGCAGCAAGCGGAGTCATTATATATACCGACGACGGATACGATATCTATGTTTTTGCGACAGAGACACTGGTTAAAGTGCAATTTTTTTACTTTTCCTGTAAATTTTTAGACTTTGATAAAGAGGAAACTTGACTCATCCTAAACTTAAATTCCAGAAACGATTTCTATCTAGGTATGGCGTGGCTGGTCACCATGGGATCATCTGGAAGTCGAAGTCATTAAATGCCATGTCTCTTCCCCCAATGGAATTTATATAGCCATGATCGCACCTATACCAAAAAGAAGCTTTGCTTCGGCGCGGGCATCAGGCAAAATAGTTTGTCGCAGTGCTTGGAACTGTCTGAGTAATTCGCGAAGATTTTACCAGGAATATAGAAATAGCGATGATCCCGCGGTCTCAGAATAAGGCGGGATGTCGCGAACACAAAGCGCGGACTGCTGAGTTTAGTTCTGTATGTTAGCTGTCGAAACGGCAATGAGCCGCGGTCTCAGGATAAGGTTGAAAGTAGCGAATATAAAGCGCGTACTTCAGAGTGTAGATAGAATTAGCGGCAGTATGTCACGGTCCCAGAAGTGTATTCTAGTGAAACAGTTGATTTCAGCTGTCAGCTAAGATCACCAGAATTTATTTCTGATGGGACAAACAATATCATCTTTAAGCTAGTGTCTCCTGGCATAGAGCTGGCGGAAAGCGATTAATGTGATTATATATCGTGGTGTCCTGTATACGAGCCGATAGAAACTGCCAACTGTAAGTCGCAAAGAGAGGAGCCAGAATCTGAAAATTTTAGGGATGGTCTATCTTTGTCAAGATTTAATGGTGCTGCTGAGTCAGCAGTATGATGCCGTTGCGGTGAAGCCTCATGAACTTGTGGCGAAAAATTTATCAGTCGTCAATGGAGTGACCGGGGTAGCCTTAGGAAAAACACTTTCGTTACATTAGCTGATACCCTCATTGGCCTTTAAGAAGTATCCTTAAAGAATGTTGGCAAAGGGTCACAGGGCGGCAAAGAAGCAGTAGAATGCTCGACTATAATGGAGTATCTGAGCTAACCATCCGTCTTGGCCAACTCTGTCAGTGAGGATACTTGCAGATGTCTGAGAGTGAGAAATGGGGCAATTACGTCCATAGTCCATACAAATCCCTTTGTCTTTTGTTAAAGATATATAACGACGTTGTGACGAGAGACCCACTGCGCGTGTTATTGAGATAAGCAGCACAAAATTGACCTTGTTCCTCGAATTGACCAGCTCTCTAGAGCCACATGTCATGGACCTTAATATTTTGTTGGATAATACATTCAGAACGTCTTCTACGGTCGCGGCTTGCCACATTCCGCCGTCAAAGAGTTTAAGGTATACAGCAAGCTCTTCAATAGATAAAACTCTCTGTATATGAGTTTTCGTAATGTAGATACAAGGATCTTGACCTCAACAGAGTCGAACGCTCTCGAGCTCAGCTCACTTATGGTAAGAATCTGGAGGTTTTAAATTGCTGGAAAATAAATACTTGCTTCGCCGGCAAGAGAGTCGCGGATGTTGGACCTGGACGCTCACTGCGCGGGAGAGATGATTAATGAGGCTAGTATACGTAGAATAATTTGGGTGTTAAGAGTGATTGGTGCTTCAACGACATATATATTTTTATATCTCACGTACTGTATACAACGGGATACTTGTTCGAATTTCTAGATGCACTTGTCGGGCGCCGCAGATACGATGCACAAAGTATCACAACACCACAGAGTAAATGCTGCAATGATAATATATTTCCTTCTTAGAATGTATCCTAATCCCATGGCCTGGGATCTG